GCACAGCCCTACCTGACTTCATACATTCGATTTGCTGCAGAATTATTTCCAACAGTATCCAGTGTTAGTTTTTGTAATAGGTATTGAATTTCAGCCCTTGAATTCAGCACTTACAAAATGCGTGTGTTTGCTTTGAACGCGCATCAATTGATAGTTTTCCCAATTACAAATAACTGTCCTTGGGTAGTGATGAGGCTCACTTTGTCAGAGCTGTAGATAGACTCTCAGTGTCACTGCCTATTGTGCATCACACATAATGGGTCTTTGTGAAAACACATTGTTCAGGTTTACAATTTACATAATGCTTTCACCTTGGCATTTGTATCCTTTAGTATGTGTGATACAAAAGAAAGCACTTGTACCACACACAGCAAACCACACAAATATTGCACAGGTAAGGTCAGGCAGCCTGTCTGGCCTTACACAGCACAGAGACTAACAGGACTATTATGGTCCATGCTTGTCTTTCGCACAATACTGTATATACAACAAAACAGAAAAAAGGCTGTTTTCCACAAGTCAAGCTGGGAAATGTCTAGTTCAGGAAGTTTTAGGTCGACTAGCAAAACATGTCATTTGACTCCTGACCAGGAATCTAACCATATTTTATTTAATTTCATTTTAGTTTAGGAAAAAGGCAGAAGCTCGTGACATTTGCAGTGTAGTTATCTGTAGTAATCTGGTGCAGCATGACAGCTCCCACACATGCTGTCCAATCCAGTATTTATGGTTTTCTCAATGACTCAATGATAAACAGCATAATTATTTTTGAAAATAAAAATTATTATGTCACTAAACATAAATATTTGTAGTTTCTAGACAATATAAATCCTGATAGACGGTAAAAAGCCATTTTTCTATAAGGTTTTAAACTCTATGTGTAAAACAAAACTTCCACATATAAATTAAAGCCATTCTTTGGTTCATCCAGCAGCACTAATATCTGCACAAACAATATCACTTTCAGCAAACGGTACAATTCAAAGTCCTAACTAAAGCTATATGGCTTTTGTAGTCAAATAGATAAATAAAACAAATGGTTAAAGTGCAAAGTTAGTTACTTTGCTTTGAATTAGAGATGATTTCCTGTAGTGAAATCATCTCTAATGATGATTGCATCATCTCTAATGATGATTTCACTACAGTGTCTTTCGTCTTGAACTCATCTAACCTTGTGCCTTCATCTCGCTGGGATGTAGGAACAGGTCATGGTCGGTCAAGCTAATGCTTGTGATTCCTCCAAATATGCCACTTTGCATTTCAGAAGCTCCCCACAAGTAGCTCTGCTAAAAGTACACTGATGGAAGCAACAGCAACCTGCACAGAGCTGATGAGCTGGGCAGCAAGTCAGACACATGAACAGCATAGAACATCTGGTCAGTTTAAAAAGAAATGTTATGGAAATGTAGACTTCATTTCAAAGAAGATCTCAGCAAGGCGGCATTTCTCTATGAGGATGGCCAACTCAATAACAAATGGTAAGCTGACTGGTCTGCAATAGGATGTTACACAAACTTTTCTGCTTAACGCTTGTTTTAGAGAATAAGAATATCACAATTGTCAGATTTCATAATTTCTTGTCTAATCGAATCAGATCATTACAGCAGACACAACCAGTGTCACCTTGTGACAGTGTCACTCTCACATGTGAGGTCTCCTGTTCTTAATCAATACAGAAAAATTAAAAGGGGAATTCGTAGTTCATAGCACCTATTAGCTTTATTCCTTGATAGGAATAAAGATCAGTGTAGGTTAAAGTAATTTAATGTTGTAAATACAATTCTTAATGTCTATTTATTAGGTTTATAAATATGTATAAATAAAAATTTATTAAGGCTAGTAGGCTACCCCCCAGCAATCGGGGCTGTACAACATAACTATATTTATCAAATGATGAAAGAAAAATGTCTATCCTTGTGGTCATTATATAAAATTATAAATTCACTACATTTACAGACATTATTGTAATAATTGGTTAAAGAATTGGTAAAATTTCAGTGAGTAAGGCATTTTTTTTAGAGTTTTTCCTTATTTTTTAAGTTGATCAAATATTGTAAAAGAGCTGAAATAATTAATGAAATGTAGAGTACATATGTATTTTGAATAAACGTTCAAAAAGTTCTCGATTCTCACTTGTTGATAATTAGAAAATACATATCTTTGCGGTCACATAAATCAAACAATGTAAAATCCAACCCATCAGTTCTAGTATAGTAATAGCATCTTTCAATGTTTCTCTAAAAAAATCCAACTCATAGAAGTTTCAAAAATATTCATAATAACTGGTTACCACCAGTTATTGTGAATATTATTATCTTAAGTCCATTTTTCACAATTTATTAAATTCTTGAAGACTCATATAAACTTTGTCTTTTTATCCTGAAGTTTGGAGTCCTGCATTGCTTTCACTGAAATCACATGAGGTGGGAATCTTTTCACAGTTGCTGTGGAGAGAATGAAAAATGACAGAGGCCAAAAATGTTTTCAATACATATAAAATGTAGGTATTCCTTTTAGACAGACTTAAAACGATAGGCATTTCCTTTAACGCGTTTCCTGCTCAGTTTAAAGCGATTTCTATTCAAAAATACATTTACATTACCCATGTGAGTCACAAAAACCATTAAAATTATTTTGTGTCATGTCATTTCTTTCCAAAAGCACATTTTCCATTTACATACATAGCATTATCTACAAAGAGAGCCTGAGGGAAGAATGCATTTTTAGGAATTCGTAATTATTCTTCAATTCTGCTTCTTTAATAGAGTAGTACACTCGACCAAACTTCGGGAACACTTTTAAGTTCACCTTGCCATTCATGGCACAGAATCTCAGCGAGCTCGAAGGAAAGATTAAGAGCAGAGTGGAATCATAATAAAGGTGACAGAGGATGCCTCATGGGACGCTTTGCCTCCAGGCGTACAGAAGAAAATCTCACTTTATAATGCAGTTAAATTATTTCACGCTTGCAAAGCATTTTTTAACTGAAGCTTTAGCTGTGCATACGGAGCTCCTGGTTTAGCCCCAATTAGCAAAAGGAAAATTTGTTGAAAAAACTGTAGAAAAGCTATTGTTTGTCCTCTGAAAACAATCAAACTTACTATTTATTCAAAGATGATTAGAAGTCATGCCATAAGAGTGTGGAGGTGGAAAAGAGTTGTTAGTTAATTGGAGGGTTATGAATAGAACTGTTTGTTTCAATATTAGTAAAAATGTTCAAATGTTTTGGTTGTGGCAACCTAATGACATGTGGAAACGTTTTTTTCCCATGAATTTACACTGATCAAAAAAGAAACTACAAGATGTGGCTCTGCATGAGCTGTACATCCCTTGCACAAATACAAATCTATTATCTGAGCATCTACTTGTGTATTGCATGTGTTCAAACAGTGTCTTCTTATTTGGAGAGCTCTAACTAAGGCAAACAAAACGCCATGAATGTTTGTGCTGATAGATAAATGCTACACTCCCCACCATTAATCACACTGGCAGTTTCAAATAAGCTGTAGCGTACTGAAGTATGGGGGAAGGCTGTCTTAATGCTCATTTGAAATTCAAAGTGGTTTTCATAAATTATTCAGTTTATTAAAATCATAAGCAACTCTGTTATAATTCCACAAACAAAAATACACATATACCACAACGTGTAACTGTGTGTGAATGCATTTACCTGTGTCAGTGTGCGTGTGTGGGGGTTGCATATGTCTATTACTCACCCCAGCGTCGTCATGGTGACAATAGTGTACCAGAATGAAGCTGGGATGCTGGTGAACTTGCTGGAGCTGGAGCCCTTCTCTGCATAAAACATGACCGTGGCAAAGATGATGATGGCCATGGTGAGTGAGAAGAGGAGGAAGCCCAGCTCCGAAGCGCAGCTCTTGAGTGTATAACCCAGGATCCGCAGGCCTTGCGAGTGGCGGGAGAACTTGAAGATACGAAACACTCGAAACACACGCAGTGTCACGAAGGCGCCGCTGACATCCTCGTTGTTGGTCATCACTAGACCAATATAATATGGCAAGATAGCCACCACGTCGATGATGCTCATCACAGAGCGCATGAAGCGGTAACGACTAGGTGCGGCAAACAAGCGCAACAAATACTCCACGGTGAAAATCATAACACAGGCGGTGTCCATGCAGAAGAACGCAACAGTGTAGCGTTCGCCACATGGCATGTCTTTCTGATTGGCAGTAGCACCACAGGGCACGGTCTCCACCACATTCGTAATGACCGAGACAGCAATGAAGAACCCAGTGACATAGTAAAAGACCAGGGCCATGGTGGAGGTGTGGGGGTTTTCAAAGGCGCGCCACATGGTCTCTCTGAAGTTCATGTTGGGCATCTTCAGGTCCATATTCTCTTCCTGATCATCCTGCAGCCGCTCTAAGTTCTCCCTCTTTCTGTCCTTGTATTCTTCATAGCAGCAGTCACCGATGATCTCAGGTATGATGCCAAAGAAAGTCAGCTCCTCATCATAGGCCGAGATGCACTCGTGACGAGGATAATGGAGCTTTCCCGTTCGGTAAAAGTTGAGAATGCTTCTGAAGGCGTCAGGGTCCCGGTCGAAAAAGTACTCCTTGGTTTCCTCGTTGTAAAAGAAATCTTTCTCAGAACTGCCCAGTAGGGTGTCTGGGTAGCGGTCCAATGTTGTTCTCCAGGTCTGAAAACGACGGCCGCTGACATTGAGGATGATAAGTTCATCTTGTTTCTTGCTGTTGTCTCTTGGCGCGATAGGCATGGGGCAGTTGGCCACAGGCATCCAGCCAATTGCTGCAGCCCTGGCAAAGGGGAGCCACGCTGCTACTCCTGTTGCCATTGTGAAGCAAAGTCTTCCACACCTTCAGACTTAACTGCCCTGAAAATGATCTGGCATCTGAAGAAGAAAACACAAAAAAGGGAATGTGGATAATTAACAGCAACACATTCAGTCTTCAACCAAATGACCAGTGCTGACCATCAAGGTGCTGTGTACCATCATGCCTATTCTACTATGAGTTTCAAAACATTTTTCCTCTCTGTTAAATCTCCTTTCACTTTCAGCAGTCTCTTGTTTAAATATCTGAAAATGTCATCTATACAAAATGCCACCTGAGCTGCTAAAAATGGAAAGAACAGCTAAAGGTGGATGTAAAAGTTTGTGTGAAATGTAAAATCTGATTTCTATGAAAAAAATAAAATGTGCACGAGTTCGACTTAGACCACAATTAATTGGTATGCATGTGAATCAAATGACTCGCCTTTTGTGTCCAAGCCTATGTCGAAAAGGAACAATTAGATGTACAATTTAACCAGCATCAGCGACATTAAGAAACAACTATGAGGCTTCTGTTCTGAGCAGCTTCATTAACTATCCTACGGTGAAAAACAGTGACAGCCAAACCTGTTGAATCTAAATAAGGAGGAAATCTACTTCAGAGTTCTCCATGCGCTGATAACGTTACGCGGTTTTCCCTGTTAGAATTTTAAAGTACATAAATTACACAATGACCTGATGACGTTTCTTTACTGACTTGTATTACCTGGTCGAGTATAAGCAAACATCTTGTGTCCGTGCACGTTATACTCAAAACGTGACAAAAAGTGATTCTGAAACGTTCACGCCTTAGAAACGCCGCTTTTCGCCTCCAGCGCACGAATCGCACAACTTCCCCAACAAACGCATTTATTCACCTGATAAATGCAAATTTCTAAATTTATATCAGCCCTTCCAAAGATAAGAACTGAATAAAAGGGTCGGCGAAAACAGGAATACTCACAGAAAAGGAGATGGAGTGGAGGAGGGAACAAAATCCCAACTCTTCCAAACCGAGTCCTCAGTTGTAAGTGAGAAAGGATGAGCTCGGATCCATCCAGCGAGCTGAGGCAGCGAGCAACACCTCTCTTCTTCACCTCGGTCGATCGGCAGACTCCCGCACCGAGCAGAGCGAAAAAACTGAAAGCAGCAGAATTAACCGCAAGACTCTGAAGAAACGGTCTGTGTCTGACGGATTCTACATCCTGCCTTCTTTGATTCCCCGTCACTGTTTGAAAAAGTGAAATGTGATGGAGAGGAGACGCACGCTTCCCTTCCTTCACCACAAAGTACAATGTACGACTCGCTCGCTGTGCCAGCTCCGTGTCATCAGTCCTCCTCCCCTCTGCCTCACTTTGCCATCATCTGTGACAGACTTCAACTCACTTGGCACTTCCAGTATGGTGGTGATGCACTGTAAAGCAGAACGTGACGTTGTGGTGCAGGAAACTGGACTTGATCAATCAATCAACTTTAAATCCGATTTAAAATTTCAAGTTATGCATTTGTTTACTCATTATTATTTTTATAATCTCAAAATGAAAAATAAACCCTGTTGGCAGACAAGAAACTTCTATTCTTCTTCTATTATTATTATTATTATTATTATTAGTAGTAGTAGTAGTAGTAGTAGTAGTAGTATTATCAATAATTCCCCTTTGCACATGTTTCATGCCATGCAGGCCTAATGTTTTACACCCCGCCTTAACCTGTTTGGTACCCTTGTTAACGTTTGACCTTATCAAGTCCCTCATCTAAATGATCAAATCGTCCTTTCACAAACAAGCAAACAAACAGCTCGGAAGACTTCCTCCAAGCTGAAGAATTATAGAAACTCTGCTTTTGCCTTTTCCTGTGGAGATGAAAAAATAAAACCTTGCCTTACAGTGTCAAAGGTGTGCGCCCTCATCTCCTTTTATGAAGTCAGTTATATTGCCACTTGATGCGTTGGCATGCTGCTGACAGTTTTCTCGTGGACAAAATATTTGACAAAACAGCGCTTGTTTGGAAGGAATTTAAAAATACCTCTGTCTGTGTTGTCTGAAGAAATGTAATATACTTCCCCCCCTTTTTTTTTTACACAAATCTGCTCGAAGGTATAACGGTTCGATTATTTCTCTGGCATAACGTTCATTTTGGAACTGTTCCTATACCAAATGTCAAGACAAGATTGTCAGCCAGCGGTAATTCATCGATTAAGTATTTGCTGGGACATGACAGATATTCAGGTTTTTGCACTTTTAAAAAAGGGGAAAAGTTTGCATTAGACAGCAGGAAGGGTAGCAGGAAGGTGACAAAAACACATCTAACTTTTACCTCGAATGTTGGAACGTGACTGTTGCTCAAAGCCACTTTAAAGTTTTATTGTAATTTCTTGTTTACTTTCATTTTTTATTTATGGTAGGTGACATTTTGGCATATAACTGCTTGTTAGGGACAACAACGTGTTTTGAGTTAAAATACAGCTTTTTACTAAATTAAACACACAAAGCTCAGTGTTTGTTTTCAGGTACTACTTTCCATCATGAGTACAGGTGGGACACCCGTGGTGCATATTATGCAGTGATTAACACAGCAGCTAGAGGTCACTTCACTTTAAAACATCACCATGTACTCTAGGACACAATATTAAAAACTGCTGTCTTGTATTTTCATTTAAACGATGTTAAATTACCTTAAAATGCATCGTGGTGTAAAGTAATAAAGTGCTGTTACATACAGTCATGTGAAAAAGACTTTTTACAGGACCCTGTGCAGCCCTTTGAAAGCCTGGGTATACCCCATGATTCAGTAGGTTGTATTGCAGCTAAACTACATTTAGCTGCAATAATTTGAAGTAATAAATTTCAGTATGACTTTAACATGCTTTAACATCATTATGGAGGGATTTTGGCCCCTTTTTTTTTTAATTTTTGTTTCGTTTCTTTGGGTTTTTTGGGCTTTTTTTTTTGCAGTTCCCCCCCCGGCTTTTTGGCCAGTTGAGGTCTGGATTTTGAAAGGGCCATTGCTGCACCTTGATGCTTTTGCAGCCATTCTGTTGTAGATTTGCTGGTGTGCTTGGGATCATTGTCTTCTTGTATGATCCAAGTTCAGCCAAGCTTTAGTTGCTAGAGAGATTGCCTGACATTTGCCTCCTGAACACTTTGGTATACATGGCTCATGGTTAACTGAATGACTCCAAGGTGACTAGGTCCCATGGCTGCAAAGATTCAAGATTCAAATTGTCATCCCTCCACCAGAGTGCTTTGTGCTGTATGTTTTCGTCAAGCTTGGTGCTGCGTATTATGGCAAAACATTTCCACTATGGTCTCATCTTTCTGAAGGACATCTTTTGATTTGTTAAGATGCAACCTCGCAAACCCAAGCTTTATGGCATGCTCTTTTAAGAGAGACAAGGCTTTTATTGGAAACCCTTCCAAACAAGCCATACATATTCAGACTTGTTCCAGTTGTATTGTTATGAACTTTAAGATCTAACGTACTAGCTGAGGCCTGTAGATTCTGACATGAAGCTCTTTATTTTATTCATTGAATTTCATTCTAGGATACTGGCATACATTAAACACAATGTCGCATTTAGACCACAAACAGTCCATAAAGGAGTGTTTTTGTAATGTAACAGCCTTACTCTTTCATCCATGCTACACTACGTGATTTATAAAGAAACGATATTGGCGTTGCGAAAAACTAAAAGTCAATTACACGTTCTGAATAATGCAATATGCCGAAAGAAATCACCTTAAATTTGTGCCATTTGATGACTCATTTGATGATGAGTGGTAATTTCAAAACACATAATTTGGGCAGACTTAAAATACAAGCAGTAATGCAAAAAGTCCTCAGTAATAATCAAAACAGTGTGATGCAGTTTATTATACCTTAGTGATGCATATTCCTGGAAGAATTTTCTATTAAATCCAGACAACCCAGCTGACACAGAGCAGACTGTCCAGATATTTTTGTTGGTACATAAAAGCAAAGTACCGCATGAACAATTTAGAGTAGTAGCTAGCTAAAATCACAGGACACCTCTCATTATGATTTTTTTAACACAGTTAATGTGAAAGAAATACAGGGCAGGATTATAATGCAGTAATCCAATTGTTAAATCCTTTTAACTATTGGTCTCTTATACTGTACAAGAGAATAACATTAATATAAAGCAGCACCAAAAACTCCGTCCTCTATAATTTTTCCTCAAATAAGCCTTCATCTTCAAACTGTGAGCCAAAGCAGAGAGGGGGTGTCAAAGGAAGCCCTACAGAGCCTCGCCATCAGCTAGGAAGAAGCAGCAATCCCCACTAGCTACTTCTATCTTACACTTTAATCCCAGGCAGCATGGTCTGAACGTATAGACGCCTCAGGGGACTGCTGGGGCTGGACGAGGAAGGCCTTTGAATGGATGGCCTTGTGTGTGGCTGTTGGAGGGGAGAGTCAGAGGGAGAAAATGAAAGGGGGAGAGAGGCTGTGTGGCTTTGGTATTAAGACAGATAGGCTATTGATGGACTCCAGTACATTCAGATATTCAGATCAAGTTCTGCCACATGATGTACAATATCATGCCCAGGATTTAAAATTTTAAGTTGCATGGATTTTTCACACAGGGGTTTGCTTTTGTTTTATCTACCATGTTATGGTGCTGTGGCACATTTGTAAACCAGTTTTCCAATTTTCCTGTATAAATCTGTAAAATTTAGTGTAAACATAGAAGTTTATGCGTTGTATGTTATGTGATATGCACACCAAGTCAAATAAAATGTAGGTAAATGTGCACTATTCCAAAATCTATCACTGTTCCCTGCATAACAAAAAAAATAAATGAAAACATTCAGCCTAAGAATAAAGACTAATGCAATTGTTATCATTGTCTGCATCAGAATTATATATTAACATATTAAATAATTTGACATACTATTACCCCAATCTGTCAATTGCCTGATGATTTCTCATACTCTTTACTGTGACACGTTCAAAGCTTTTGGGTGCCATCTGAACTTTAGAGAATACATTTACTAGCAATTTTTCACAGTACTTTACATTAACTAGTGACAGTAGAGACTTTCAAATATTCACCAAAATATAGGATAGCGGGACAATGTCGTTTAAAATTAATTTTGATATTTTTTTTGACAAAATTGCATTTTTGGCAATGTGCTCTTTTTTTTATTGATAAAATTGTAACAGTATATTATGGTTTAGTTTAATCTTTGTAGTTAGATTTAAAAAAATACAGGTGCATTCAGACTATATGCGTCATACGTTCCAATCTTTCACAATGACTGGGAAATATCTTAAATAGTTAATTGCCCATAAGGCTGAGTTTTGAAGGTTTTTCTCATGTCACTGTCCTTCACCTGGGGCAATGCTTGCTGAGTGCATGAGAGATATTTGTATGTCATTTAGTCTTTTTATAGCCCCTTATAAAACAGAAAAAACAATCTCTACAAGAGTACCACATTTATTTGGATTGATTTAAACTTGAGTGTGTGTGTGTGTGTGGCACAGTTGTTGGTGACAGATGAGCTGTTCTGAGCATTTCAGAACCTGCTAATCAGCTGCATTTTTCCCCACACAACAGAGAACGTTCTAAAAAAGAGAAAATATCCAGTGAGCATTCACTCTGTGTGGGAAAATGTGTTGTTGATGCCAGAGGTCAGAGGAGAATGGCCAGAATGCTTTAAATTGATAGGAAGTTAACAGAAACTCATTAGAACCAAGAAATACAGAAGAGCATCTCCAAATGCAGAAGAGCATATCTAAATGCAGAAGAGCATATCTAAATGCTAAACATATCAAACCTTGAGGCAGATGGGCTACAGCACAGATGCCACTCATCTCAGTTAAGAACAGGAAACTCTGGATAGAATTTACACAGATTCACTAAAACGGGATAGCAGAAGATTGGAGAAATGTTGTTTGGTCTAATAAGCTTCAATTCAGTTCAGATGGGAGGATCAGAATTTGTCAGAAACGACATCAAAGCATGGATCCATTCTGCCCTGTATCAGTGGTTCAGGCTGCTGGTAGGTATGATGTTGTGCGGGTTATTTTCTTCACACACTTTGGGGCCATTAATACCAACTGAGCATCATTTAAACACCACAGCCTATCTGAGTATTATTACTGACCATGTCCATCCATTTTTGACTGTGTCCCCATCGTCTCATGGCTGCTTCCAGCCAGATAAGGCACTGTTCCACATCATCTCCGGCTGGTTTCTCGAACATGGAATGAGTTCACTATACTCAAATGGCCTCCATTCACTAGAGCTC